CTCTCTTTTCTCTCTCTCGCGCGCTCTCTCTCTCTCTCTCTCTCTCTCTCTCTCTCTCCCCCTCCTCTTTTTTTCTGTCTCTGGCTCTTTCTCTGTGTCTCTCTCCCCACTCCTCTCTCTATCTCCCTCCCTCCCTCTATTCCCCCCCCTCCTCTCTGTCTCTGTCTGTCTCTCTCTCCTCTTTCTGTGTCTGTCCGCTCTCTCTCTCCTTCCTCCTTCTCACCTCCCTCTCTTTTTCTCTTCTCTTCTCTCTCTCTCTCTCTCTCCCTCTCCAGGACCACAGTTGCCAGGGTTGCCCTGGCTCCAGAAACGACATCTAAGGGGGTGAAAAGTCAACAGGCACAGCGGAGCTCGATTTTAAATCTTAAAAAAAAAATGAGTGCGCAGAGAGGAAGGTGAGGCCAGTCACCAGGAGCCGCCCTGCAGGAGCCCTGGCAAGATCCCGGAAAGTTCGTTTCTGCTGGGAACGCAGCAGCCCGAGCCTGTGTGGCCCCTCTCGGCCGGCCTCCTTCCCCTTCCTTTTTCCAGCTTTTAACAAAATAAAACCCGAAGCTGGATCTCGAATTCCCCACATGGTAAACCTAAGTGGCCGACAATTAAGATATCCTCTTTAAAGGCCTCCCTGGGAGCCGGCCAAGAGGGGCCTGGGTGGGCGCCTGCCCCTCGCCTAATCTGCGCGCCGCGCGGCCCAAGCGCCTGCTTTATCCCGGCCGGGACCATCTGACGCCGGGACGGGATTTGTTTCCTGGAAGCAGGAGAAGCGAGGAGCAGAGAAAAAAGACGCTGGGAAATAACATCATTCCTCAGTTTCTTAGTGTCCTAACCAGTGAGGCGGAAAACAAGCAAGAAAGGATAGCCCCGGTGGCGGCACCTTTTCAGCCCCGAGCGCGGATCAAGACGGCCAGCATCTGTTGAAAGGGCCGGCCCGATCCCACAGAGGCGGTGTCACGGGCGGGGGCGGGGAGCCCAACGCGGGCGACCCCTAAAGCCCCGGGGCCCGGGAGCCCCGGCTGGAGAGCCGGCTTCGCCGGGGTCAGCCGCGTCCGGCGCTCCCGGTCGCCGCCGCGTGGCGTGCACGGACAGAAGCCGGACTGGTGCCCGCGGAGGCCTCGCCTTCTGCCCGTGGAGTCGTGGGGTCCTCAGAACCCACGAGGCCTCCCGGGCCGGGGAGGGAGGAGGAGCCCTCTCGGCCCAAAGGGCCCGAGGATCCCCGGGGTCGCCACGGTCCCGCGGCCCCAGCGCAGGACTGCGGCGTGGAGTCCAGCGCACCGGGAGGGTGCAACAGGTGGGGGCGCTTAGGGCGGGGGTTGGCGGCCGACCCAGAATTTTCCAGCAACCAGGCACGCTAAAGTGGAAAGCTCCTGATGGCGCCATCTCCGGCCCTGCCATCGCAGCGACCCTGGCAGGTTAGACTCGCTTCTCACCGCGCCGCCAGGGACAGAAACCTGCCCCCAGTGGGCACCACCAGCACCTCTGTGGGGGCGCTGCCCTCGGCTTCTGGCCAGACTCTGGAAGTGGGAAGGGGGAGGCCTCCTGCCCTCCCCCGCATCGAACGCGAGGTTGGCACCTGGAGGCCCGAGGTGGAGGCCTCCGGTGGAGGTCCGGCTCAGCCCTGCCAGGCCCGGGCCTC